AAAGCTCAGGAACTGGAGGGGAGGTTGCTGGCTTTGGGAGTCTGGAAGAGTAGCAGGGACGCAAGAGAGATATGGACGACAACGATGACAGACTGTATTAGAGAGTCGGCGAGAGAGGTGTTAGGGGTCTCGAAGGGTTACCCAGGTAGGCATCGAGGCGACTGGTGATAGAATGACGTGGTCCAAAGTAAAATGGAAGGAAAGAAAGGGATGTACCTTAAGTTAGTGGAGAGCACAGACGAGGATGAGAGGAGAGCAAACAGAGGAAGATATAAGGAAGCTAGGAATGAGGTGAAGTTAGCGGTCACTGAGGCTAAAATTGCTGTGTTTAGTCATTTGTACGACGATCTGGAGTCCAGAGGAGGGGACAAGAAGTTATTTTGACTGGCCAAGGTGAGAGAGAGGAAGACTCGTGACCTGGACCAAGTGAGGTGCATCAAAGACGGGGATGGAAAAGTACTAACGGAAGATGCCTAGATTAAGTAGAGATGGCAAACTTACTTTCATAAACTTCTGAATGAAGAGGGAGACAAAGACATTGTGCTAGGGGGATTAGGGCACTCTGAGAGTCACCGAGACTTTAGGTACTGTAGGCGTATTAAGGTTGAGAGGTCGTAGGTGCTATGCACAGGATGAGTCGGGGCACAACTATCGGGCCAGACGAGATTCCGATAGAATTATGGAGGTGTGTGGGTAGAGCAAGCTTAGAATGGCTGATTGCGCTATTTAATGTTATTTTCAGGACGAAGAAGATGCCAGATGAATGGAAGTGGAGTACGATGATACTGATGTACAAGAACAAAGGTAATATCCAGAGCTGTAACAACTATAGGTGTATCAAGTTACTAAGTTATACTATGAAAGTTTGGGAGAGGGTGGTGGAAGGAAGGTAGAGGAGGGCAGTGTCTATATCTAACAACCAATTCGGGTTCATGCCGGGTCGTTCGACTAGGAAAGCTATCCACCTTATCAAGAGGTTGGTGGAACAGTACAAGGATAGGAAGAAGGACTTGCATATGATGTTTATTGACCTTGAGAAAGCGTATGACAAGGTTCCTAAGGAGGTGCTTTGGAGATGCCTGGAGGTGAAAGATGTGCCGGTAGCTTACATTAGGGTGGTAAAGGACATGTATGATGGAGCTAAAACTTGGGTTAGTACTGTGGGTGGTGACTCGGAGCATTTCCCGATTGTTATGGAGTTGCACCAAGGATATGCGCTCAGCCCGTTCTTATTTGCCCTGGCGATGGATGCACTCACACACTATATTCAAGGGAAGGTGCCTTGGTGTATGTTGTTCGCTGATGATATAGTTCTGATTGATGAGACGCGAGGCAGCGTTAACGAGAGGATCTGGAGGTTTGGAGACAGGCCCTTGAGTCTAAGGGTTTCAAGTTTAGTAGGAGTACCACCGAAACTTAAGGGCAAGTTCTATAGAGCGATAGTTAGACTGGTCATGTTATATGGGGCTGAGTGTTGGCCAGTCAAGAATTCCCATATCCAGAAGATAAAAGTAGCAGAGATGAAGATGTTGAGATGGATGTGTGGGAACACTAGGCTGGGTAAGATTAGTAATAAAGATATTTGGGAGAAGGTGGGTGTGGCTCCCATAAACAACAAGATGCGGGAAGCGGGCTTAGATAGTTCGGGCACGTACGGAGGAGAAGCCAAGATGCCCTGGTTAAGAGGTGTGAGCGGTTGACTTTGACGGGTATGAGAAAAGGTAGAGGGCGGCCTAAGAAGTATTGGGGTGAGGTGATCAGGCAGGACATACACGACTTCAGATTTCCGAGGACATGGCTCTAGATAGGAAGGTGTGGAGGTCGAGCACTAGGGTTGATAGTTAGGAGGGAGTCGAGCATTTTTCTTCCTTCGTACCGGAGGTAGGGCTAGCATGTTAGGGTGTTGTCTTGGATTATTAGTGGTGTAAGTTTGTGTCCACACTATTTTTTTGTTTTTTTTCATAGTTCGGTGGCTCTATTACTGGTTGTTGTTATTATTTTCCTACGATGCTTATATTATCTTTCTGATTTTTGTTATTGTCACAGATTCTATTGTGTATTTTCGTCTTTCTTGAGCTGAGGGTCTCTCGGAAACAGACTCTCTACCCCTCCGGGATAGGGATAAGGTCTGCGTACATTCTACCCTCCCAAGACCCCACTTGTGGGATTTTACTGGATTGTTGTTGTTGTTATTGTATAGAGATTCTATTTCTGTAAAGATGGTTGTTATATTATCAAAAGAATATGATTGTTATAAAAAGAATAATTTTACAAATAATATGTTGTTATTAAAATGGATATTATTATTATTATATATAAAAAAATTATTATACAAACGTAAAATATAACATAAAGAATCGATTTCAAAAGAAATTTGACTTTTTATAAAAAAAATATTATTATATAAAATAACGGTTATAGAAAGATCTGACGGTATGTATCTCTTTCTCCATTTGACTTCCTTTTCAATTTCTTGATCCAATCCTACCAAGTATTGTCGTATGCAACCATCCTACCTTCTCAATTCACACTACCTCCATCTATCTCTTTCATATTACATGTTCTTATTGCCTTTTAAATAGCGACGCTTGAATTATATATAAATTATACATAATAAATTTGTATATGCTATGTCTATACAAATTATATTATATGGTAACTCTGACCATGTCTATACATAACTTTATAAGAACTACCTTTGCTTCTTATTCTTCTTTTTGTCTTGTCTCCGCCATATGAAATTACATGTATTACGTATTCAGAGGCGAATAACTATATAAAATTAATACCATCCTAGGCGTTAGACCAGGCTATTAGTTATGGTACTCCACTTCTGTTAGCTTATCTGCATGAATTAACAATTTAACTTCTAGTTGTCGTACTTTCTGATAATTTTACTTGTTTTTCTTCCTGATATGATTATATTATATTGCATATAATTATGCACCTTCATTATTTTCAATTATCTCTATTGACATATTAATTCAAATTCAAATGTCAACAGGAAATTACATTTTTTCCCACATTATTTTTTTCTTTCGTTAACCATAAAACTTTGTTACCTATAAATTTTAAAACTTCTTATATATACTTTGAAGGTATCGTAAATCTTAAGTAACTTAAATGATTAAATAATAATATTTTATATAAAAATATCGTTTGTCATATATTTATTAGTTTGGTGTATATACCATTTTTGATTATTGTTTTTGTAGATTTACCTCATAAATTTCACATTTTTAGGTTTTTTACTACCCGAAAAAGTGAAAGATCTATCCATCTTACCATAGCCCAAGGGGCGGATCCACCCCTCCCTGGTGGCATGGCACCCGTTAAGATGATAAATTTTTTATATACCTATATTAAAATTTTCTTAAACTATGTTAAATATTTTATCCTGCCACCCGCAATCATAAACTAAACAAAGGTGTCATGACTGATAGACCTTTTTGAAAGTTTTTCTTGTGTGTAAAATTCAATTTGGAATTTATCTTGAACCTTGTCCGACTTTTTCTTTTCTTTATGCTTTTTATTTCCTTTTGTCCCAGTCATTTCCCTTTTTGCTGCCTCTCAATTTTCTAGTTGTCGTTTTACTAGTTTTATATTTTTTTTTTCTCCATCCTATTATTTTATATGTGGTCTCTAGCAAAACACTTAAAAAAGGAACTCCAAAACTTTAAAATTTTATAAAATAAGTATTCCTCTTAATCTTAAATTTATGAGTTTTCTTCTTTCAAATCCGAAACACTTGGGTCTTAATGGGATTTGGATTGAGATCAATTATTTTTCATCTTTTTTCTATTATATCATAAAAATTTGTGTTATTATATGGTTATTAAATATAATTTAAATTTTTTTACTACTAAATTATGATGAAAATTTTGTAAGCATTGCTTAAAAAAATATGAGATTTATGATTTTAATTTTTGGGAACTTGTAGTTTATTTAACCTTATACTTATGGGATATAATTTATCTATTGAAGATATTTTTTAAAATTTTCTTATTCTGATTGATTTAATTCCCTTGCTGAAGATGTTATCTTACTTGTGTAAATTTATATTTAATGTACAGAAAAGATATAATTTTCTAGTGAAAATATTGATTTTACTTGTGTTGTTATAATAAAAGTGTTATTCCTTATTTAAAATGCCAATTACGTTTGTTTATTTTATATATGAGATGTAATTTTTATATTTGCAAATACAAAATACCTATTAGGTTGACCCGAATAAACTCAAAAAACCCGAATACATTAAAGAAATTTATGGCACCCGCCACCTTTAAATCCTAGATCCGCTTCTGCATAGCCCTGATTGTACTTAAAAGTATCAATATAAGCTATAATGCTTTACATCAATTCTGTTTTTAACCTTTGTCTTATATTTGCTACTCCCTCCGCTTCATATTAGATGAAGTACTTTCCTTTTTAGTCTGTTCCAAAATGAATGACACATTTCTAAATTTAGTAATCATTTACTTTTGAGATACCTATATTACCCTTACCATCCCTCTTTCAAAAATATGACACGGACCCACTGAATTTAAGAGTAAACATTTTGTGGTGTTTACTCACTGGATCTTTGATCTTAGAGTAGCTAGTAGACTCTAGAATTGAAGGAAAGTTTTTTGACTTAGTTAACGTGGCAAAGGAAAAGATGGAACATGTGAGTCACATTTGATTTAGTATCTACTTTATCATGATTTTCATTAAAAAGCTAGCATATAGGCCCATAAGTGTAAAATTGGTACTTAAAATAATTTGACAATAGTATAATCATATTTATCAAACTCAATGCTCAGTCAAATTACGAGTATTATGTATCACATCGATTCTTTTGTGTAACCTTTGTTTAGAATTGCTAGTCTTTTGCAACTCTTTATAACATAGAAAGTACTCGTAGGAAGCGTTAAAAATCCAAAACTAAGGGGGGCAAATGTAAGAATCTGAAAACTGGGGTACTGATCTTGTAAAATTCATATATTTCTAATACAACAACGAACAACCACTCCCTCGCTCTAAAACCCTTGGCGTCACTGCTCATTTCACTACTAAATCCCAATTCTCCGGCGGCGGCGCGTTCTCCATTCAGATATGAAGCAGAAGAAATTGCTAGCCTTAGGGTTCGAGGGTTCCGCCAACAAAATCGGCGTAGGAGTAGTGGCACTCGACGGCACAATCCTCTCAAATCCACGGCACACTTACATTACGCCGCCGGGACACGGTTTTCTCCCGCGTGAAACCGCGCAGCACCACCACCAACACGTGTTACCCTTAATAAAATCTGCCCTAGAAACCGCCGGAGTAACTCCGGACGAAATAGACTGTCTCTGCTATACGAAAGGCCCTGGCATGGGTGCGCCGCTGCAGGTTGCGGCGGTGGTTGTGCGCGTGTTATCTCAAATGTGGAAGAAACCTATCGTTGGGGTAAATCATTGTGTGGCCCATATTGAAATGGGTCGGATTGTAACTGGAGCGGATGATCCGGTTGTGTTGTATGTGAGTGGAGGAAATACTCAGGTTATTGCGTATAGTGAGGGAAGGTATAGGATTTTCGGGGAGACGATTGATATTGCTGTGGGGAATTGCTTGGATAGGTTTGCTAGGGTTCTTACTCTGTCCAATGATCCTAGTCCTGGGTACAACATTGAACAGGTTAGTTTAGCTAATTTGTAGAAAGTAATTTTTTTGTCCCATTTGCATTAAATTTGGACTTGGCTGTTTTTGTTTTATGAAAAAACAAAATCTTTATTCAGAAACTACGTTAAACTGGACTTCTAAATATTAAAAACATGTATAAGAACAGTTCCATCTCAAAAAAAAATATATGTATAAGAACAGTTAAGTAAATCTTGGTCAAAGAAAAGTTTTCGCAGACAGTCTAAATAGTGATTATGTGTTAAAAACAGATGGGGTGCAAGGTGTATTGTACTAACTAGTGATAGTTGCGTGTTTTCGCTTGATTTTCCGATTGGTTTGCTTGTCATTGGCCCTTTCCTTTATCTTCCCGAGCCGAGGGTCTACCGGAAACAACCTCTCTGCCTTTTTAAAGGTAGGGGTAAGGTTTGCGTACACATTACACTCCCCAGACCCCATTTGTGGGAATATACTGGGTTTGTTGTTGTTGTTGTTGTTAGTTGCTATCCTTAATGTAGGTACTGAAATTCTTATTGCATTTATTGGTATAACCTATTGGATGAATAGCATACTTTTCACAAAAAGGGTATGATGATGTTAAAACCTGCTTAGGAGGTGCGAACAAGGTAAGAGGTTTTGTGGGTTGGGGAGAGAGAGGATAAATTTTAATGTTTTATATACCTTTTCATTGTTCTGAAACTGTAACTTAAGAAACCCGAGAACAAAGTTTGCCCTTTTCAAGGGCTAGGGTTATGCACTGTTTAATAGATGTTTTCATAATATGTCTGCATATTATTGTACTTTATTGCTGGTTTGTCTATGCCTCCTCTTAGTTATCATATTTTTCTGTATATTTTACCATGTGAACACTCCTTTAGCTACTGTAAATCGGGACCTCTAGCTTTACAATCTAGTCTGCTTGTTTATCACCCATTTTACCAATTTTACCACATCTACTACCTCCTTCATTTACAATTTTAGAAGTTAGCATACTGTTCATTAATTTACTTTTGATCAACCCGCTAACTCAGTAACTAAAGGTGTTATTTAACCAACTTTAGATATAAGGGACCCCGAGAAGCGAAGGTTGCTTTGACTAATATGTTAATTTGAATTCTAAAGAAAAAAATTAATATGTTTGATTAGGAGGGAGCGATAGGAAGGGGCGCATGACAAATGAGGTCCCTGTGTTGCATCTGATTTATGAGGGGTTGGGTTTGATAAACAGGGATCTTGTTAGTATATTCTTTCGTTCTTATACACTGTGCTCTTCTTATTCCTTTTGCGTCTTTCCTTTATTGTTGGGTTTGCTTCAGATTATAGCTGACTGGACCTGATTTATTTTTTCCTTGTATGTTATAGACTTGTAATCATCGTGTATTTTTTAGTGTTTACATCTCAGTTTAAAGTTTGGAAGGAAGGGTAATTGATTTAGTAGAAGCAAAATACTAGTGATGGGTGATATAGTTTTTATACCCTTGAGGAGAGCCTGTAAGCACCATTTTATATTTGAAGCTTTTTATAAGTTATTTCACATAATTTGTTATCTGCTGACTTTTTTAAATCTGTATTTGTCAGTGTAGCTGGTTCATGCTTTTGTCTATTATGATAATTAACACAAGATTAACAAAGGAATTAATCAGAGATCTCATCATTGTTTTCCTTCTCGTCAGCTTGCAAAGAAAGGGGAAAAGTTCATTGAACTTCCATATGTTGTAAAGGGAATGGATGTGTCGTTCAGTGGAATACTGAGCTACATTGAAGCCACTGCTGAGGAGAAGCTGAAAAATAATGAGTGCACACCAGCAGACCTTTGTTTCTCTTTGCAGGTCAATATTCAGATTTTGACTTCTTGTCTTCAATTCAAAATTTTACGCTGAGTCATTCTTAAAATCCAAAATGCAAAAATTTTGATTGCCATCTCTTTTGTTTGCAACTCTTTTAGGAAACTCTGTTTGCGATGCTTGTAGAGATTACAGAAAGAGCAATGGCACATTGTGATAAGAAAGATGTGCTAATTGTTGGTGGTGTAGGATGCAATGAGCGCTTGCAACAGATGATGCAAATAATGTGCTCTGAGAGGGGGGGCAAGTTGTTTGCTACTGATGACAGGTACTGCATTGACAATGGAGCAATGATTGCTTATACTGGTCTCCTAGAGTATGCAAATGGTGCATCGACTCCGATGGAGGAATCAACATTCACACAGCGATTTAGAACTGATGAGGTCCTTGCAACTTGGAGAGAGAAGGAATCAGCAAAAGTTTGAATAACAGCTGGGTATATTGTATTGAGGTATCTTCACTCTGTTTGCTTGGTTTGTGATTACATTTGAAAGTGACATAGTTTTTGAAGTCTTAGATTTTATTTTCATGAAGTTACATTTATAGAGATTAGAAACAACCCAAGCAAATGTGTGTCTTTACTTCAAGGTGCGCTTGTTTTATATGGATAAGAACTGGCATGATTAATGTTTATAAGAGAAATGAACTTTGTGTGTGGGATAACTCTATCCATTGATGAAGGAGACCCAAGTGCTATTGAACACATTCCAGGGAAAAGCATTTGTCTATAGTGATAGTGATCCATCATCTTGACTTGAGTCTCCACCATATCTATTTCCTGCCCGCTTGTAGCGGTTGGTTAGGCTAGGCCAGTTAGAACCTTTCCGTACTTCTGGATTCTGATTGAACTAGGGAGGATCGATATTGCCGGGGAAGATTGTTCTTCCACAGCTGGCTTGTTAACTATGGTCTCTTGAAAGTTTCATTCTTTTACGAGCTCTCCCAGCCAACAACGTGCTAACCTTAAGCTTGCAAGCACCTTGGTCACATCTAGGTTCCTATTTAATTGCTCTATTTGGGATGGAAAGAAAAAGATCTGCCTTCTGTGGAAGAATCGCTCGAAAGCATGCGATGGGCCTTCCCTTTCTTTACGTCATCCACCACCCTGTCCTATCCACTCTCCCCAAATCTCTACTCGTAATTTTAAGAAGACGCTATTATAGGGACTCTTGACACCAAATATTTGACCTTTAATCTATCCTTTCTCATGCAACTACTCATGTAGTTCGTCATACTGTAGCTCAAACTAAATATAGTAAACATTCTCATGGTTCTTTCTTATGATGAGAATGTATTTTAAACTTAAGAAGCAAACCATCAAGGCATCGACGTATAGAACTTGGAGCGTCTAGTAATGTATTTCTTGTTTAGGCACATGTTTAGGTCCTTTTTCCTCTAGAAGATAGTGTTCTTGTTATTCATGTTTGTCGTGCATTTTGATCAATAGTCATTATGATACCATATTTGTGAGAGGTATGATGTATGTGTTAGGAATACTGAGGTTGCTTTAGTCAAAGCTCAAGATCGTAAGTTTCTTGTTAATAAATATTTTTCCTTCTGGCATACTATAGTTTTCACTTCATTTCATTGAGGCTGTTCTAAATTCTAAGAAGTCTTTGTTGTATTAAGCAATTGTACAGTTCGGCACTGCTGAATTGAACTCTCTGAAGGTCTTTGCGCTTCTCTTTATAGGCCTTTTTAACATGTTCTAATGACTTGCATAATTTGTCTATGGCAGGAGAAGATGTAAATCTTATTTGGTATCTTCAGTTTGTTACACTTTCATGGTCAATCCGTGTGATTGTATTGTACTCTATTTATCTGCCCATGGCGGCTTATAATGGTCAATCCATGTCAACTGTAAGTCGTACATGAACAGTTTGTGCACTAGTTACACATTACCAGAAGATTATTGTAACATATTTTTATACATTATTAATACTGGAACTGCCACTACTTTGGACCCTTTGAAAGCTTATGATCTGCTTGCAGCCTCTGAGTGCTTGGGCCGATTCTTGAGCGAAGGGCGTATTTCATAGCTAATCTTGAAGGTTTGGGGCTTGATTTCGGGTATCTAGGAGTGACGGTGGTAGTTTTTTCTGGTGTTCGTCAGTGCTGGTGGTGGTGGTGGTAGTTGTTCATTGCTACCTGGTCAGTAGCACAAAGGGTCTGGTAGGTGCAGTTTGGGTGACAGTAGTAGCTGGAAGCTCCGAGGGAGGGGGTGGAAGCAGCAAACACTTTTCCTTCTACTTCAATAATTTTCCTTTCCAATAGTTTCTCACGCTTATTGAAATTATATGCACCAAATATTAGTCAAAACTTGGATGACTTACTGCAAGCAATGTGTGGGTCGAGTTAATGCAAATTTTCATTATGTCTGAACTTTATGTGGAAACTTGATTGTTTTCTCAGATCTTTTATTTGTTATTTAACTTCAAAAGATTCATCAACTCAAAATCCGAACAGTTGAATTATTTTGCTTGTATCATGAATAATATACTTTGTGTTCTTTTGAAGAAGTATAGTGATTGAGTTTTGGTTCTTTTACTCGGTCGTTTAACTCAACCCCTTGACTAGTAGAGCTGAGTTTATTTTCTGAGCTTTTAAACAAAGACGGGCACATCGATTAATTTAGGGGAATTGCATACCTATATCTAAAAGGAATTACAAAGGAGATGATGTAGACAAATGTAACAATAGTCACAGGGGGATTGGGTTCTAGTGAAAGGAAAAAAAAAGTAATGCACTTTGTTTGGTTTTACTGTCATGACAGATCACCAACCAAAAGTTATTTGAAACTAAAATATTATCTTAAATCATCTATGTGATGAATGTTTGCGAGAGTTGGCACAAGAAATATGGAACCGACTCCAGTTGCCTTATAATATTGGTCAAATGGTGCAGCCTATTACTACTAAGGAAAATGTGGAATAGCTTACAGATAATCGGCAAAACCAACTCAAAATCTTCCAAGTTTGTTTGCTGTAAATATGGCTTACGGGAAGAAATAAGCATTTCAATTTGAAAAATTGTATGCCAACATTGGTCATCCCATAACACGACTTTTTGAACCGTATCTACCGAAGCTATTTCGTGTCGGGGGAAGCGGACATGGACGTGAGGCTTGACTCACAAGTCTTCCCCAAGAGAGGAAGTTACCTTGGGTCAATTATCCAGGAGATGGGGAGATATACGAGGATGTCGCGTACCGTATAAGAGTGGGGCGGATGAAATGGAGGTAGAATCTTTAGTCCTGTGTGACAAAAAAGTGCCACCGAAACTTAAAGGCAAGTTCTATAGAGTGGTGGTTAGACCGGCCATGTTGTATGGGGATGAGTGTTGGGCAGTCAAAAATTCTCATATCCAGAAGATGAAAGTAGCCGAAATGAGGATGTTGAGATGGATGTGCGGGCACACTAGGCTGGATAAGATTACGAATGAAGATATTCGGGAGAAGGTGGGCGTGGCTCCCATGGACGACAAGATGTGGGAAGCGAGGCTTAGATGATTCGGACACGTGTGGAGGAGAAGCCTAGATGCCCTGGTTAGGAGGTGTGAGCGGTTGACATTGACAAGTATGAGAAGAGGTAGAGGCAGGCCTTAGAAGTATTGGGGTGAGGCGATCAGGCAGGACATGACGCGACTTCAGATTTCCGAGGATATGGCTCTTGATAGGTAGGTGTAGAGGTTGAGCATTAAGATTGAAGGCTAGAAGGGAGTCAAGCGTTTTTCTACTTTGTACCGGGGGCGGGGCTAGCGTGATAGTGTTTCGCCTTGGAATGTTAGTGGTTTATGTAGTGTCCACACTATTTTTTCGTTTTTTCATAGTAGTGGCATTATTACTAGTTATTGTTATTACTTTTTCATTTATTTTCTGTCTCTTACGATGTTGATATTATTTTTTTGACTTCTGTCGTTGTCACTGATCTATTATTTATTTTCGTCTTCTTGAGCCGAGGGTCTTTTGGAAACAGCCTCTCTACCCCTTCGGGATAGGGGTAAGGTCTGCGTACACTCTACCCTTTCCAGATCCCACTTGTGAAATTTTACTGGGTTGTTGTTGTATCTACCGAAGCTACTTCTTCTATAGACGAAATGTGGTCTTGAGAACACGAGCCCTAAAACTTTAGCTAAAACTACTACTCAAGAACAAATCCCTCAAACAGATCAAGAACGTTGCATGTATATATTCTCTAATTCTTCTTCACTCATAAATATACGACATTTAAATATAGTAAAAATGTTTGCTGACACTGTAGTTTTACTTGATTACAGAGCATGCTATAAGTGAGATTCCAAGGTACACAGTGTGAGCTATTAGGATAGCCTCAGGCTTGTCAAAAAGAGTTGCAAGTAGCAGATAAATTTCGTTCAGTTCCAACTGGCAACTGGCAGCACCTTTTTCCTTTTTCTTTCTTCAATATTCTTTCTTCCATGATGTTCCGTAGTTTCTCTTTAATGAGAGATTCCACGTTCTTCTTTGAGTGGAAGCCTCGACCCGAGTGGAAGTGCAATGTGTCTGGAAATTTGAGATTGTAAATGAATTCGAGTAACCATCCTCATCGCCTCTTTCGTATAAGTTCAAAAAATTTATTCGTTTAAGAGCTGAAAGGCTATGGTAATTAATTATGCTTGCATTATGAATAATAGAATTTATATCCTTCTGATTAAGCATCGTGATTGAGTTTTAGATGTTCAGAGACAACTTCTTGACTAATAAAATTAGAGCTAAATTTTCTGAGCTTTTAAACTAAGACCGTCACATTCTGTTTAATCGTAAAACGGTACAGTTGACTTTATAGCGTGATTTATAGACAAACAAATCGATTTGATCCCAAAAATAATAAATGAATAAATAAAATACAAGACTTAGCATTGAAATCAAGATAAAATAGCAGATAGCTTGGTTCCGGGAGCAAGGCTTCCGGAGGCAGCAATAAGAATAACGTTAGACAAAAAATAAGTATTATTTAGCTCGGAATAGTGTGTAACATAAGTTTGTTAGAGATTTTCGTGTCCTACAATGGTTGTTGAAGCCACTATTTATAGTTATACCTAGGGAACAAGGTTCAAGGATCAAGCCCCTCTTAAATGACAATGATGGGGGTTAACGGCAGGCCATGAATGCCAGAATTCTCTGTATCGACTGAGTATTTAATACTGAGGAATATTCTTCATTGAATGTCATCCGGTGACAAGTATTTGTTTGCTCTTGTTGATAATGTTCCCTTCAGGATCCCCGGTGCCAACCGAAGCTATTGTCCTCGGTCTTGGTTTCCACTCGCTTCATCTTCCGTCTGCCCTTCCCCCCCTCCCCCCCCGGTTCCACGTGTCAACCTGTCATTCGAGCATTTAATATAAACCGATTTTACCCTATACAGATAGTCCGCCTGCTTTCCGGTGGCACATCTTTGTGTCACCGGAAAGTTGGTGAAGATTCCTTTCTTGGCGGAAAATTTTATGAACCTTTCTGAAAAGTTTCTGACGCTTGATAAGACGCACGTCTTCTCGCATTTAATACCCCGGACACGTGTTACTCCACGATTTAGCAATATTTTTACCGGTTCTCGAGGTAATCATGGTCACAATTTTAGCCGCATATTCCTTTACTTATATACCTCATTCTTCTTATTTCACTTCTACCAGTTTCATAAACTCTTCTCAACTTCTCTGCATTAAACTTCTTTCTGCTTCTGTCTTTCTTTGACCTTCTTCAAAAAACTCTTATCATCCTCTGCTGATTATGGCTTCTTACACTTATTCTTCCAAGAACTCCGATTTTCTCTTCGGTGGGGGCCCGAAGAGGAGCAAAGACAAAGAGGTAGATGTTGATGTTGATCCTCCTACAGTGAGCACCATTATCCCCAAACATCTCAACACAGCCAAAGACTTCGAAGAGATGTTTCCTACTTCAAACTCTCGCACTTGGATTGTTGGCAAATATCCTTCCTCTATTCACCCTTCCAGTATTCCTGCTGTGAATGAGAACTGTGACTGCCATGCCTTGAACATCATTGCTCCTAATCTGGTAGAGCGAGTGACCTTCACTTAGAAGGGTTTTACGTATGTTTACATGTATCCCTTCACTTTGGGCCCGTTCTCATTGAGCGGGGGACTTGACCCCATGACTTTGGAGTTGTGCCACCGGTACCAGATTTGTTTGGCACATGTGGGCCCTTTAGTGTGGCGAACGGTAGCATGTCTGCGGCGGATGTGCCAGGAAACGAAGGAGCCCCTCACCTTGGCTCATATGATGAACCTCTACTCCCCCAAGAT